GTAAAGGTAATTTTTGAGATGATAGATATTTCTATAAAAAACCGATGGCATTTTACTAGTGGTTAAGAAGCAATTATTACTTTGTGGGTGATGTGACACATCATATGAATGATGTTATCCTCCACTATAATTAATAAATATTTCTCTTTCCATCGAATTATTATTTTATCTCTAAGTAATTACTTAAAATACCTCTAAATAAAAAAGTTACTATATGATGGGATAAGAGAATCAAGTGTCCAAAAATGTTGAATACCTTAAAAAAATATTTATATGTTGGAACACTCTAACACAACCCATGAGAAATAACATATATTTTGTTCAAGGGATCAAAACCTCAATCAAACTTAGAAGGCATGCTTTTTAATTAGAATTAGAATTAGAATTTAAAATATCCCACATGACTTCAAAAATATCTTAATTGTCATTTTTTAGGGTTAAAAATTGTGAACAAATAGAGACATTTCAGTAACTTGATCCATCTAAGAGGTCTCCACCAATGACGGGTACCCCTACCTAATTTAAGGTGGGTCAAGGTCTACAACATAGTTCGGTGCCTCGAATCGCCCCTCCAAAAAACCAATATAGATTGGTGATCTGGCCTAGTGAACCGACAACTAAAAAAATTTAGAAATAAAAAAATAAAAAACGTCAAAAAAATAAAATAGGACCAGATCCTTGACAAAAACAACTGGTTGTATTAAAGAATTAACCAAAACCAGCTGATTCATAGGCAGAATTGGCCAGTTCCTAATATTTAAGCAAGACTGGACCAGCACCAACAATTCTCAATCCGAACCGGCTGGTTTCGGTTTCCCGATTTCTAAAACCTTGAGGTGTGTCAAATTTGTAGATTTCTAAGGCAGCAAATGTCAAATACACGACCGATATTTTGCCAAAATAATGAAATTATTAGCCTACGCAAAGCAATGTTAGTAGCACTCGTCATGCAACCCATCTGTCAACTTAACAGGCATGAGGCATCATAATCACGCAATCACTATTAAGTTTGAATTACGATTGGTCCTGTCCATTATTACATTTGAAGAAAGTACTCACAAATCTTGAAGCCATTAGAGTTACAACTTTGAAAAGAATCAAGTTAATATTCAACTTCAATAGGGATCAGGAATACACATCGAGAATAAAATGCATACGCTCAAAATTATCCATAGGAAGAATGCGGAGGACATCTTATAACCTGTACTGTTACGTTTTTCACTCTTTTATTTGTGAAATCTCTGATGGACGGAGCAAATTCAATACCATCCCATGATTCTTATAACCAAACAAAGAGTACATCAAAAATACTCAATTTATCAAAAAACATTTCCCTCAAAATTTGAAGTGGGCATGAATGTTAAGAACCTGAGAAGAGCGCATTGTATATGAAAACATCACATATAAAAGCCAAGTGAAGGATGATATCCATTATCGGTTGATAAAGCTTTATTAAGCTATAAATATAGGCCTTACCCAAGTTATGGTCAGGGCTAATTGACTGTGGTGTGCTGGATATCCATCTGCACATGGTTTTCAATTGTGAATCCTAATCACCATAGTTAATAATCCATTTCAACAAATATGACACATTTTTTTTCGGGTGAATAATATGCCGGGGCCATTAGAAAAAGAAAATGGAAGCAAGAACTTCAAAAAACGAAAAGAAAAAGAAAGGAGCCAAATTCAATATTTTGTTGCAGCTCAGCCGCTTTTCTATTAGTTAAAATACTATATTGAAGCCAAATTTCAACAAAAATTAGGTGTTATGAACAACACCATTGCCTTGAGGCCCAATTCATTGACAAATCTGAAATTCCGCACCTTGGTTACTATTACATCAGCGTCCATATCACCCTCACACTAGAATAGTGAAGAAGATGCCCCAAAAAGAGCACACTCAAAATCACTATAAAAAAGATGAGAGAGAGGTGGAGGTTCAACCTTTTTTGTTGGTCAAAAGATCCTGCTTTTTCTCCCTTTGTAAATTTCTAGGGACGAAAGCTAAACCACGAGTATGGCGACGACCAAAGCTCACAACAGAAGGTGTGGAGTCAGCAGTGCTCAATTTGGAAACTTTGGATACAAGATCTTCAATGGTTCCATCCACGTCCATCCCTTTTCTCTCCTCTATTCCCTTTTGATCATCTTCTCTCTCCTCTCGTTTTTGATGTTCCTCTCTCACACCTCTCATTTTCTGATCAACTGCGCCTTTCTTTGAACAAGCCTGGCGTCTCTGGCGCTGCCTCTTGGAAGGGTGGTGCTTCTTCAAGAACTCGAATGAATCAGGGAATTTATGTTTGTCGACTAGGTGCTGATGCCTGCTTTTGTAGCTCGTCATCTTTGCTCCACACCCTTCAACTAGGCATTCATACTGTTCACAATATAGATATCAGTGGAACACTTTCTTTCCTATAAAGTAAAAGGAAAAACTTTATAAAAGGTTTCAACCTTAAAATGTAGAATTACAGATGCACCTAAAAAATCCATCAGAAAAGGTTGTTTTAATGTTGAAAAAACATCTAATTGATCATCACAACATCAAGATGTATGAAAATGAAAAAAACCAAGATTTTGAGTCCAAGAAATAGTGCATCTTGCAACATATTATCCAGACCGTCCAATTTCAAGATTTTCATGTTTATAAATCTACTTGATTATAACCATTTTTGGATTTCAAAATTTTATAATTAGGTATGAAAATAGATTTTCAAATAATCCTATGAAATTTTTACACCACAATCACATGCTATGATAAAATTTGGAGGTGCGCCTTAATTGGATTGTCTAAGGTTGCAACCTTATAGAAACCACACCCAACGTAAAATGCACTACAAGGAAAAATCATTTGTATGTGTGTGAGAAAGAGAGAGAGAGAGAAAGAGAGAGAGAGAGAGAGAGAGAGAGAGAGAAAAAGATCAGTCTAAGCTTAACCTACCAAATTAAAGACCAACTTAAGCCCGACTAAGTGAGAAACAAAGATATGGCAATGGATTGAAGCTCAATTACAAAAAGGCCCAGCCTATAGGGAGAGAGAGAATGGGTCCAAGCTCAACTAATCAAACTTTACTCCCAAGAGAGAGATCCAACTTTTGGAATCAAGCTCAACCTATAAAACTGCAAAAGAGAAAAAGCCTAATGGATAGATAGAGAGAGACGAATGGATGACCGTGAGGATGAGTTCGGATTAGTATTAGACCCCCTTCTTGAAAGGTTTAGATGAAGAAGATGGATGGTGAACCGCCAAAAAACCCAGATTTTGATTATCGATGTTGCTAGACTGTATATCATAGAGTCCCAGTATTCCCCAGAACTCTCAACCATGCCATCACGTGGTGGTCTTACATGACCTAGTTAACCGATCTTATAGAGGGTTAAGTTATTCAAAGGAATCTCTAAGAAGACAGCCTTCAAAATCTAAGAGATGGGGAGTTATCCACTAAAGGTTGGAAAAGATATTTTTCCTAACTAAAAGCCTTTTAAAATAAATAATAAAGATCAAAATTTTTGGGAAAGGGCCTAATAAGCTTCCCCCACCTCAACTTGGATTGGCTCCCCATAAACCACGGTTTTGGCCTAAAGCTCATGCTTGCCTGAACCAAGCCTCTTGCGTAGTCCTTGCACGTGGTTAGGTCCGATGCTGCACCAAGCTTCTACTCAATCCCTTGGTCAGGATCGTTGCTGCCACCAAGTCTTTGCTTACACATACATGGGTCAGGTCACTGAGCTGCCACCAGGTGTTTGGATATGTGGCCAAGTCTGTTATTGCAACCACAACCCATGCCACCTCCTGCAACTCTCAAGAGGAAGGCCATGCACCAGCCTTACCATAGGTCAAGTACTACTTGGGTATCATGCTGGTTGCCCAATTGCCTCTTCATCACCTGACTTGGGATAGCTGGATGACTCATCACATCGCACCTCCCACTGTTTGAAGATGCCTCACCCATTGTGGAGTTAGATAACTCTGACCAGTGATCCACTTTCAAGTACACCTATTATTTATTTTTAGAACGATTTTTAGAGAGAAAAAATATCTTTCCCAACTATCAGTGGATAACTCCCATCTCCTAGATTTTGACGGCCATCTTTGCAGAGATTTTAAGGAAAAACCGAATGATGGAATAACTGAACACTCTATAAGGGAGGGTCAACTGACCACCATGAAAATCTTACTTGAGAGTTCTGAGAAACACTAGATTTTTGTGAGATAAGTCCAGCGACATCACCCTTGGGGAATTCACCATCATCCTTCGTCCTTCATTCCTATCACTGCAAAGTAATAATTTGTGACCTTGGTAACTGGTCTTATACAATCTTGTGATCTGCAATCTCATTGCCAAGTGCTTCACTAAAACCTGCAATCTTCGAGGCTGTTATTTTCTATCAATCTAATGGAACATTCCATTGAAGATTCATAATCCTCATACTGCAATCTTGTTGCCAAGTGCCTCATTAGAACCTGCAATCTTCGAGGCAGTGATTTTCTATCAATCTAATGGACATTCCATTTAAGATTTATAATCCTTGGACTGCATCTTGCAAGAGTTAAATCTTCTTTACCTAGATAACCTTGTTTTTTGTCAGCATTCTTTTTTCTTGTCTTATATGTATACATCTCCGCCTTCATAACTTTTGTTTTCATCTTGCTCACGTTGTGTTTTTCAAGTTTGTGCCCTTCCTCAACTTTTTCTAACTACGAAAAAAAAGGAGAGATGTTGTAATTAGATACCCCCATTCACTTTTTGCAGTTGACACCATAGATGAGCCTCATCTATCTCCACTTCCCTCAAAATCTATTGAATTTTCCCTACAAATTCAACAGTGTTCCAACCAACTGTTCAAAAGAAGGTCTGCATAGACAATTATTAGCACACTCTCAGCCATGGGAAGTAATGAACCAATCCCCATCTCTACAACAATTAATAAGTTGGTATTCTACTAATAGGCAAAATTTCTGTTTACTTCTAATTGCTTTGATTAATTCATTTTAAATTTCTAGCATTAAATTGGCGTCTATGATGGTAATGGTGAATCAACGTTTTCTTATTGATCTTGGCCCTGGGACTCACCCTGGGCCACCCAACGACCTTAGAAAGAAAAAAAGGCAAAAAAATAAAACAAAAAACAGAGTAGCTATGATAACATTGCAAAGTTTCATGAAAGATGATCTGCCTAGAGTTTTTGAGGACCACATCACAGCCTGAAATATAATGGATGCTTTATGTGGAAAATATGGAACAACATAAGAGATCCATGTTCAAATCCCAACTGAGTATTTCAAATAAATGACGGTGCTTGCAAAAGACCTTGCCTTGGCCAGGAATCCAATTCCCGGCCATATGCAAGTGTCTACTACTGTCAATAGTCCTCCCCCATCTTGGGAGCATGTGGTGATTACTTTGAACCACTCCTCACGGGGCATTACTATGGCAGACCTTCCCATGCAACTTAGTATTGAAGTTGAGATACGAGCTAGGAAAGAGTCTAATGAGCTCCACTTTGCCCATAATTCCTCTTCCCAAAACCCTAGTGCAGATTAATAAAGCTCTAATGGGAAAGGAAAGAATTTTAAAAACAAAAGAAGTGAGTTCAAAAGCCATCTGATAAGACATTCTATACTAGGGAACCTAGGCCAACCAAGCCAATTGTCCCATATTGAAAAACAAATATAGAAATCAAAATATAATAATGCTGGTCAAAATAGCAATAGCCAAAATAAGAGGAAGAATTTGATTTGCATTGCATTAGAATCTTTGGTTGTTGACCATGACCTGAAGAATTGGTGGATTGACTTTGCCTCCACCGGACATGTTTCAGGAGCAAGGATGGGTTCATAGAGCTGAAGGAGATCGTAGCCGGCAACTAATGGATATATATGTGATTGACACTATTGTGATGCAGTTGGAGTTGGGACATTGAAGTTGTGTTTGCCTGGAGAAACAAATCTCTTAATGATACTTTGTATGCGCCCAATATAGGGCGCAATGTAATTTCCGTTTCTAGGCTAGATGAGAAGGGCTATGAAATAAAGTTCAGATCGGATTGGTTCAGAATTAACCATCATCGAACGTTGGCATGGGGAACAAAAGTTGACAATTGTACCAGTTGGATTTTAATGAAAATTCCTCTTATTTTGCTCATATCAACACTTCTTTTGATGTTCATGTTGATTTGAATGACTCGTATTCATGACATTTGAGATTAGGAATATATAAATAAAGATAAAATAAAGATAACATGCACATATTAGTTCAAAGAGGCTTACTCCTTAACTTGGGAGAAATTAATATGCAAGTCTGGAACCATCTATTTTTGGTAAGTTAACTAGGAAACATTTTCCTAGTTAAATGAATTTGTTAACATTGTACACTCTCACACATGTGGACTATTAGATGTAAGAACGCATGAGGCATTTGAATTATTTCGTCGCTTTCATAGTTGACTTCTCTAGATATGGTTATGTGTATCTTATTAACAGAAAGTCAGATGCATTAGAAATATCGAATACAAAGTTGAAGTAGAAAATCAATTAGGTAGAAACATCACAATTATTAGAAAAGATTGGCGAGATTAATATTGATTTGACTTATTTGCCCAGTTTTGCAAGGAGCATGGTATGCACCACAACAAAGTGTTGTACCTCTGAGAAGAAATAGAACTCTAATGGACATGGTTAGATCTATGATGAGCCATGCAGATTTATCCCCTAATTCTTGGGGTGTGGCTCTCAATACTACAGTATATATTCGAAACCATCATCTAACCAAAGCCATAAAGTTAAGACCTCGTGAATTATGGACTAGTAGGAAACCAGACCTTAGTATCCTAAAAATCATGTGCTTCTACCACAATAAAATAGAGATAAACTACTTAGTAAAAACTATTCATGCTCCTTTATATATTATTCAAATAAAATTCTGAGGACTATAGATTCTACAATATCCTCAATAGAGAACTGCAATGCTCATTTCTTAGAAAATAGGACTTATGAACGTGTCTTGAATAAACCTATTGACTTGCATGAAATTGAGAAAGCAAAGGGTCCTACCCTATTGCTCAGACTCCTTCAACTATTAGTGAGCAGGATTCCATTAAACCTAGATTACTAGATAGACAAGAAAGAACTAGAGTCCCATCTACCACCTTAGATCATTATTATGTGTTTATGAATGAAAAATTTAAAATAATTATTCTTCAATGAGTGAGGATACAAAAGATGAACCCCAACGTTACAATGAGGCTACTAGCTCACATGACTCAATTGAGTGCATTCATACCATGAATGATGAAATCGATCTCATTAAAAGAAATCGATCACATTAAAAGGAATCAAGTTTAAAAACTGATCGATCTCTGTTATTGGTTGAAAAT